TATTAATCCTGTATTTGTTTATTGATGTATAATACTTTTATACATCTGGGCACAGTTGTCAACATCAGTTTTAAAATTGAGCCTTATGTCAGGTGGAATTTTTAGAATTGCGAGCATCTCCAAGAAGTATCTTTTGCGATAATCATCGCAAATTAATAACTTAGTATTAAACATTAGTATTATATAATAAAACATTGTACTTTTCCTTACATATATTTACATATATATAAATATGTATATATATATATTTACACACACATTTATCCTTTTGTCTACCATTATGTATTATAAGTGGTTTAGTATTTGAATATAATGTTTTAGTTTCCTGATGATGACTTTAGACTAAAGTCGAAATATCGAAGAAAAATAAAAATTATTGAAAAAACAAATTGTGAATTCTTAATTTTTGTTTTTATTTTTAACAACAATAATAAAAAGTTTTGACCAATTAGCCTATAAAAAAATAAACACTTATTAAAATTATTTGGTCACAAAATTATTAACATTTAAAGTTTTAAAAGAAATTCCTGCAAAATGCCTAGTTAAAATTACGAATATATTTAACGCTATAATACAGATGCGAACCCTTCCATCCCTGTGGAAAGTGTCGGAAATTATCATGGCACATAAGCCAGGAAAGGATATTAGTGACGTTAGTAGTTACAGATCAATAGCACTTCTGCCTGTACTTTCAAAAATATTTGAAAAAGTCTTACTGAAAAGAATCCTTCCTCTGATTGAAAGTCAAAACATAATAACTTTAGATCAGTTTGGTTTTAGGTGCAATCACTCCACTATAGATCAAGTCCATAGGATTACCAATGTAATAGAAAAAGCTCTTGAGGAAAAAAAAATCTGGTCAGCTATGTTTTTAGATGTCTCGCAGGCTTTCGATTAAGTCTGGCACTCCGGATTGCTTACCAAAGTAAAAAATATTCTCCCAATGGAGTATTATGACGTAATCTCCTCTTACTTATTTGATCGTTACTTTCGAGTAAAGCACGGTGATGCCTATAGCAAATTGCATAAAATTAACGCTGAAGTTTCACAAGGTAGTGTCTTGGGTCTTCTCTTATATCTCATTTATACACACGACTTGCCAACGAGTGAAACGACGTTCACAGCAACTTTTGCTGATGATACTGCAGTCCTTACAGTTGGAGAAAGCGCAGTAATAGCAGCTAATAATTTGCAAAATAGTATGGACAGTATAATTGCTTGGACAAAGAAATGGAAAATCAATCTGAATAAAGAAAAATCAGTGCATGTAAATTTCACAAATCGAAACATCAGTCATATACCTGTCTACATCGATGAAGCACAAATCCCTCACGCGAATACTGCGAAATACTTGGGTATGACTTTGGACGCTAAACTAAGATGAAGCGAGCACATAAAAAAGAAAAGAAGTAAATTAGATCTTAAATTCAAATCGTTAAAATGGTTAATCGGCAAAAAATCTAAACTATCGCTTTTCAATAAACTTGTATTATACAAACAAATGCTCCAGCCAATCTGGACATATGGAATACAGCTATGGGGTAGCGCAAGCAGAACACACATTTCCATCATTCAAAGATTCCAAAATTTCATGCTACGGAGTGTAACAAATGCGCCATGGTACGTGAGAAATTCTGGCTTACATCGTGACCCCGGAGTGTCAACAGTACAGGAAGAAATTCATACCAAATCCAAATCACACCAAGATAGACTTAGTTGTCACATAAATGCTGAGGCGCATTTACTAGAGACAACTGAGCCAATACGTCGTCTAAAGCGCCAAAAGCCGTGCAATCTATGGGCTTAAATCATTTAAATGTACTACAGTTAATTTATTATTGCGTGGAATCGCCTAATCTGTTTAAATTTAAATTGCTTGTTAGTTATCTAATAACTAGTTGCTGTATGTCTTGTTTTGTTTTAGTTTCGCAGCGCCTTTCATGAGTTGCTTGCCATAGATTTACTTCTGTATATCGTTCCACCCAACTGTTCAAATATCTGATGCCGTATTGAACACACCTTCTTCTTAATTGGCACTATAGTCCAGTATGAACCTTGGCTTCCCTCATGATCTGCTTCCATCTGTCCCTATTTTCTGCTACTCTCTTCCAGTTCAGTACTCCATTCATTCTTATATCGCCATACATGTTCTCATCCCATCTTGTTCTTGGCCTACCTCTGTGGCTGGTTGTCATCTTTGCGTTGCATTGAATATGCTGTTCGGCTTTCTGTCCGACCCAATTCTTATTACATGAGCAGCCCATTGTAAACTTTGCGACTTAATGTATCTCACTATATTTTCGTTTCTAAGCAGTTCTTTAATTTAATTATTTGTTCGTCTTTGAAAACTTTCTGCATCAATTTGGGTTGGCCCGTAGATTTGGTGAACTATTTTTCTTTCAAAAATTTTTAAAGCTTCTTCGTCCGTCTTCGTCATTGTCCATAATTCTGAGCCATATGTAGCTACCGGTCTTATTATTGTCTTGTTTATTCGTAGCTTACTTTTCTTGGATAGTAGTCTTGATTTCATTAAGTCTAAATAATTGTAAAAATATCTATTTGCTGCTTGTATTCTATTTCTTATTGCGATTCTGCAATCATTACTGTTGCTTATCAGCGCACCGAGGTAGGTAAAGTTGCTAACAATCTCAAAATTGTATTCACCAATTGAACGTATTCTCATTCCTTCTTGCTAGCTTGAGGTATTTGGTTATATTTTCATTTATTCTAAGACCATAGCACTTTTCCATCGATTGAGGTAGCACAAATATTTGATCAATTGTTGACCTACCAGGTATAAAACTGCATTGATACTCGCCTACAGTATCATCAATTGCTTCATAAAACTTATCTTTTAGAATATTAGAGAAAATTTTATAGCCAACATCGAGCAGCGAGATTCTTATAGACTGAGAAGACTGAACTGCTTTTTCATGCTTCTGATATTTGTTCGCTGTGCCATATTCCACATATAAGAAGTGCTTTTCGGTTTCTATCTGGTCACCTCCGTATCTATATAGCGCTTTCTTTAACTTTAACCTTTTCACCGAATTTTTTACGTCGCCTAGGATCGGAAGATCGTAACTTGCCATCAGTTGTGGTATTGCTGTTATTACCGATATCGCTTCATTTATGCTGTTGAAGTTTAATGAGTCGGTGAAATGCTACTTCCATCTCTCTATGGATTGGTTTGTTTCAGTGCGTACTACCCCATTCTTGTCCTTGCAGGCAAAAGGTCTTGTTTCATATTTGTTACTAATACAATTTACTTGATTTCAGAAAGCCCTTGTATTGTTTCTCTTTCTTTCTTTATCTATTTTTTTGATATTTGTTTTTTAAAACTCCCTTTTTTCCTTTCTACAAAGCTTATACGCAGTTTTTCTTTTTCACGGTAGTACAGAGTAGCTGCTCTTGTGCCTCTATTTATCATATTCATTCCCGCTGTATTTTTTGTTGCAATTACTTCCCTGCATTCATTATCGAACCATTCCATATCGTATAGTTCTCATCTCACCATTTTTTTCTTCTGCCGAATTGAGTATTCCGCTTTCTATTGTGCGGCATTTCTCTTCGCAATATCTTTCCTGGAACTTATTTTGTATCACGCTGCGATACCTTTCCAGATTACTCGCTGTTTTCTGTTTATCCACATCCCATTTGCAAATTTTTCTTATATTTTGTTGTTCTATCTTAGTTACACTCTGTCTTATTACAGATGTTACCAAATAGTGATCTGAATCGCAGTTAGTTCCTCTGCAAACCTTAACATCGAGGATTGACGAAAAATGCCTGCCATCGACAAGAATATGATCAGTTTGATTCGAGCCTCTATTTCCCGGCCAACGCCACGTAGCCTTATGTATTCGTTTTTGTTCAAAAAAGGTGCCCATTATTCCGAGATTTAGTTTTTTGCAAGCTGGGCAAGTTGTAACCCATTAGGGCTGGTTACTTCGTGTAGTGAATTTTTCCCGCATATTTCATTAAGGAATGGTTGTTTACCTAGTTTCACGTTAAAGTCGCCTAGTATTATTTTTATATCATACTTATTTACATTTTTGCTTGCCTTAATCAGAGTGTCATAGAAATGATTCTTTTCTTCATCTTCACTATCTTCTGTAGGGGCGTAGCAGTTTATAAAAGTGATGTTATTAAATTTACCTTTTACTTGGAGCTTGTGTATTTTTTTATCTATAGGTTCAAAACTCATAATACTACCCTTGATTTTTTTGTCAATAAAGAAACCGGTTCCTTTTCTTCCCGTTTTGCTTTTAATTGTTATTATTTATTGATTCAAAAAAAAAAAATTCATACTGAAAATTGGACATACACCAATAATATGACATATAATATGACATATGTTTTTCCTTTAACTCCACTATAGTAAAATGAAAATGTTTTCTTGTCGATTTTTCCATAATCCGCCCATCTTACTTCTTTAACTGTGAGTATTCTGAGGCTATACCTGCGCATTTCAACAGCTATTTGCATCATTATTCCTAGTGTTAAAATTGTTAATACGTTCCATGTTCCAAATCTTAAGTTCAAGTTTCGTCGCCATAGTCCGTCAACGTGTATCCTTCCTTTATTTCCAGGCATGTCTAAGAGTTGCGTAGCGGTAAAATTTTTCCGATGCAGGGTTGCTGGCCTTGCGATCAACCCCCAACGATTTAAACGAATTAGCTAAATTAGCAGAGAAATAATGAAAGTAGGCAAATTTAAACATGTAGCGGCTGTGGCGTCATCAGAAGTGTAACAAGCATCCAATATTGACAAACGAATACAGCACCTGGAGCAGCAAATGAATGGACTTTGCACGAACGACAACAACTACAGACGCCGTTAACTATTTTCTTCTGCTAAGCGTCAGAATTCCAGTCGTCATCAGAGGTTTACTTAAACAGCGGAGCAGTTTTGTTTGTATCATCAAAAGTGAGGCGAAAACGAACGTAAATGTCATGAACCTTTTACTTATTCAAGCAAAACACAAAAAACCAAAATGCTTCTTTCGATCCAGCGAGCTGACCAAATGTTAGCCATAGTATAGCTCGTCTTTTAATAGCCCATAACAACTCGAAACGGCAATTTTTAATAGATACTTACGCAAACGTTTCCGTTCTAGCAGTTCGTCGCTTTGCTAATTGAAAAACGATACAACTATTTGTAGCCAACGGTACTTCCATACGGACACATGGCGAAAAACGTTTAAAAGTATCCTTGAATTTAAGACACGATTTTATTTGGACATTTATAGAAACGGACGTCAACAGTGCCATCATTGGATCTGATTTTTAAAAACACTTCGGTCTTTTAGTTGATATAAAAGGCAGTAAACTTATTGATCGAAAAAAGTTACTTAAGGTAAATGGCATTGCAACTCAATGCTATTCGGTTCAAGTATGGGTACATTCCACTCAGGGACGCTACGCGCTGTCACAATTACGAATTTAAAGACCTAGCGATAATCAATGCTAATAAGCAGCCGATTAGCACCAACACGACGCACAAGATTACTACGAAAGCTCCTCCAACATACGCTCGTTCTCGTCGGCTAACTGGAGAGAAGCTTATTGGAGCATAAAAGAAATTCAAGTTTTTAATGGAAAAGGGTATTTATAGACCTTCTAAAAGTAACTGGGCTAGTCTACTGCACTTAGTGAAGAAACCAAACGGTGAATGGCGTGGAGACTATCGTGTATTAAACGATATAACGGTGCTAGACAGGTACCCAATATCATATTTGCATGATGTCACCAACATTTTATATGGAAAAACGATTATTTCACGATCAATTTACAAGGGGCTTATCACCAAATACAGGTCAAGCCGTGCTCAAAACGGCCATATAACCCCTTTCGGGCTTTATGAATTCTAATGACATATTCATAGCATTGAACTTAGAGGAGGAGAATGAAAAGCATCTACGAATTGTGCTGAAACACATTCGTCCAGCTAACTTGGCTGTAAAATTTGGAAAATGTCAATTTGGTAAGCATGAACTAACTTTTTCAGGGCATAACATCAGCACACAAGGTATTAAGTCACCCGAAGAAAAAATGAATGCGGTTCGTAATTTCCCAAAACCTAAAATAGCTAAACAGCTTAAAAAATTTTTGGGGATGACAAATTTCTATCGCTCATTTATTTCCAAATAAATGAGTGATGTAACCGCGTATGTACGCTCATGTATTTCATGTCAGAAGTCAAAGATAAATCGGCACATCTAATCACCACTATACGATTTCGCATCAGTTAATGTTCGGTTTGAGCACATAAACATAAACATCATTGGCCCACTGCCAACATCAATTGGTTTCTGCTATTGTTTGACATGCATCGACCGACGGTCTGCAAGATGGTCTGCCGCAATTCCAATAGTCGATATAACAACACTAAATATTGTCACTGTACTTATCAGTGGTTGGATATGCAATTATGGTATCCCTTTATATATAACCACGGATTTAGGAAGGGAATTCGAGTCAGCTGTGTTTAAAGAATTAATGGAGTTGCTGGGAGTTAGACATTTTTGTACCACACCGCATCACCCGTAATCAAACGGTATAATAGAGCGGTGGCATCGTTCATTAAAGTCTGCCATCAAATGCTCTGAAATATCCAGCTGGAACGCAGCCATCCCATTAATACTGCTGGGTATGCACATAGCCATCAAAAGCGATAATTGATTAAGTCCAGCCGAGATTATTTTTGGTGCACCTTTCAGAATCTCCAGCGAATTCTTAGTACCTCGAATCTCTGCTAAATAATCACCTTGTCGTGGTGTAGGAGCTTATTGTGGGCTGAAGCATGACATATGGAAGTCATATGTCCATGTGACATGGTTCAGCACACAAACTTAGAACTGCCGCCAACGCACAGGTTGACAGTAGGTTTCTATGATTCCTGATCAGTCGTTGAGGCTACCTAGTGGACTGTAATAGACACTTGCTAATTGGTCGGTTCTTTAGAAAAGTGCTATCTATCAGACCAATGACTCGCCTTCAGTACGGGTCGCCGATACTCGGGCGCGGGAGAAGGAAAACATCTTAGGGCGGGGTCTATTTATATTCCAGGTTCCCAAGGTTAGGTCTAGAAAGCCTGGAGTATGAACAAACCAATTGCCCCAAACAAACCCCCTTAACTCACATTGGAACACCTAAGCTGGTGAACTTGCTTGACGAGGTAGAGTCGAGCTTAATAACGAACTCTGTATCAGGTCTGACAAACCTCAATTTCAATTTCAGTTTGTCCTTTCCATGGGGGCGCTCATGGGTGACCAACCTGCACGGTTTGTTAAAACTTCTTTAGTATGGATCTAAATACGTTCAATTCTATGGACAGCACATTTTTAAATGTGCAAAATATGGTACCTTCGTCAGTGAACCAATGGACTACGATTTGTTGGAGGGGCACCTGGTCCCCTATCGGACAAGCCGGAGAAGATGAATATTCCACTTACCCAGGAGTAGCCTGAAATGTCTACTTCCTCGGAGCAGAAGAGAGATCTTCTTGAGCCCTTCTTTCGAAGATCTCTGTTCAAAGCCTACTCCAGCGGAGACTGTTCGCTCTAGAAAGGTCGGTATACTACCGCACAATTCCTCAGACGGCATATTTACTCCGCTACGACCACAAAACAGCTTCATTGCCTCAAAATCAACCTCCACCGGGCAATAGCAGCCTCATATGGGCTTAGTGCCTTGGTGGAACAGCACTGTCTGGATTTTGTGGCCATCCAAGAACCATGGGCCAGACAGACAAAAACGTATAAGTTAATTTATTATAATAATGTTGATCGTCCTTGAGTGGCGATAACGATTAACAAAACCATTAAATCTGTTCCAATTACAGAGCTCATACAGCGTGATTTGATGGCGGTACAGGCAGGAGTGCCTAGTACTAAGGGAACAAGAGCAATTGTCTTTGCATCTCTGTATCCTCCTGGCGACACAGAGGAAGCGGTATCTCTCGAGCTCTAGCAGCTTATGAAAAACAGCCATATCCGAAACCTACAGTGGG